TGTTGCATGTACCATACCAGTCAAAAGTTTGGGCACACCCAGTCATAGAATATTTTCCTGACTATTTGCCACATTTTAGACTCCTCCTGATGATATCAGAATGATCAAAAACATATAGAATTAAGAACTGACTTAAACTGTGTAGGCAAACCAATAATATCTGACTGTCTTAAGTTGCCTTTATTTGCCTTAACTTTACACACTCTTTGCATTCTCTCGAGCACCTTCACGAGGAACCGTCTGAGGTGCTGTTTTTACAGGGCTGAAGCAGTTCCACATATCATTGCTGTCCAAAACAAAATCTCCAAATTGGTAATGTTACTGAAGAATGACAAAAAATGTTTTTTTTTTACTTTTAATGTAAGTTTACATAAAAAGATTTTGTCCTAATCACTTTTGGAGTATTTCTGTTATTCAGTTATTCATCATGAAGGTTTTTTTTTTTTCCTTTTTTGGACAGCTACAATATGCTGACTGCTAGTTGGCTGCTGAAATCTACTTGTTGGGAATCGTTTAAAATTTTTATTTTACTTTTTAAATTCAATTCTTACATATACATAGTTATCAACTATTTATGGGAACATATTTTAAGCATTCAAGTATAAACCTTTATATAATTTTAAAAATATATAAGAAATATAGCACAAACTGCTGTGTGAATGCAGTATAAACCCCTGCACACACAGAAGTGTAGTAGCACAACCTAAACACTAAAAAGGCCACACTCAAACACTGAAAAGGCCACAGGTTGTTCCTCTGCCATCACCTTATAGCACCAGTTAAAAGCACTCGCATACATGCCGTCAAGTAAACTAAGCCCAAAAACATAGCTAGACACTGTCTGATAGAGGCAAATGTCTCCACCTTAAGCCTCCTCTGAGAGGTCATTCTCTGGGGTCAGATGTTCCATTGCCAACTTACATTTTCCATTGTCAGATAGCTTTATTGCTTAAAGGGAAAACCTATTGCAATCTAAAACACATGCAAATACACAGTTGGGTCCTTTCACAGGTCTTTCCATGCTTTCGTTCCGAATGACTTCGGTTTTAAAAGGCCCATTTCATGGAAAACTAATTTGTTTTCCAAGAGCTTCATATTCTATGCACAGATTATTAAAGTTTCAAAACAGGCCATTCACACCACAGTACAGTCCATACATGGACCAAGCTGCAAAAACAGCTTGTTTTGCATTAAATGTTTTTGTGATGTCACAAAACCAGTGCATTTACATGTGTCTGCCTCTCCAGCCTAAATCAGTTTAGCCCCATCCATTTACACTGGAGTTATAAGGAATGTTTCAGTCTGAACTGCTTGTTGGTTGATGCACAGTACAGTGCACTCAGAGGTCATTTACCCTTACCAGTCTTAAAGACGCAATAGCAAAAACAACCTGTTTAATTCTAGTAATAAAGAGAGGTGGTTATATAAAAATGAATTATGACTGTTTGGTACATTAGACCAAAAAAAAGTCTGACAGAAAATGAAAAACAAATCAATCCATTTGTGATGTAATGTATTTCTGAGTGAACCTCAGTATCAGAGAGGGTCTTCCTGCTCTGAGATAGCTGAGAGCTGCTTGGTGATTAGTGAGGGTTGTAGTGGTGGTGGTGGTGGTGGGGGGGCCTGACTGTTTGAGATCACCCTTCTATTCATTTATTTTCCAGTCTAAACCTGCAGGTTGTTCTTTTTCAAGAGGTATTTCTAAGGAGATAAGATGTATAAGATAAACCACATGCAACTGCTGGTGTTCTTAAAACCATAGGCTGCCAACTCCAGTGCCCAGACATCACCATCATTGAATGTGTTTGAGATTACAAATGCAACCAACTTCTAAGACTGAATTTTGGAGTTTCCCGAAAAGAATAGAAGCTGTTATAAAGACAAAGCGCGGATGCATTAAAGACTGAAACATTGATATAATGTTTAGTTGTTAAGGCTTTGTGTAATTTTCTGTTGAATATGTGTTTTCTGCTTTCGTTCCTGATGCTGAAAAAATAAATAACTTGTCTTTAGTGACTCATTTGACTGGAAATTAAATAAATGAAGAGACTTTGGCACAGTACTGTATGTAATGCTTATGGATATGACCGCATGTCCTGACATTGCATTAAATCAAACCTGTGTGAATGTCTTTCTGCTACAGTTGTCTCCCTACAGAGGATTTACTTTACATGTTTTTGTATGTGTAAATTTCTGTAACCGCTCTTCAGTGTTACAGTACTGCATCAGAGAGACAGGGCATGTAGCACTGATCCCTGGCTGTTTAAGGGCTAATTATTACTCATCTGCAGAGAGGGTCATTTCAGAGAGGTTTTGTTGCTGCTTGCCCATACAGTCTCACACACACAGACAGCCAGCGTTATTGAGCATGGTTTGTTGAGTATGAGAGCGTTATTGATTGGTGTGTGAGGGGAGCGGTTGGGCGTATTGACAGATAGCCGTGCTCTAGAAACCCCAGCGAGTCACACACACATACACACACTTTACTCCTCTCTCTCTT